GCACCAGTTGGAACCTCTTGTAAAGACCACCTCCTGTAAGTGACTACGGCCATTATTTGGGGCTGATTGTTTAATGATTTTCGATTGAGTTTTTAAACCTGTTGTAAGTGGCCACTGACGATTTGTCTGATCTTTTATGTTTGCTGAGTGTACTATGCTACTTAGAATATAGGAAGAACTTTAGGGACAACATGGAACTACACATGTCATTACTTAGAAATTGTGTGCCATAAATTATCTTCCAAAAATGTATCCAGACATCTAGTGCTACCTCCCGTAAGCGGCCATCAAGTCTTTGCATTTTGGGTGGCCACTTATGGCAGGTTCAACTGCATAAAGAAGAAGGTCAACATAAAATAATAATATTTCATCCAAATATTTCATGATCTTACCTTCACTTAAGAAAGACCATTAACACAAACTAAAAGCAAAACATACAGCTTGGAAGTTCATTACTACCAGCTATAGCATAGCACCATCTTTGCAACTCTGGTTCACTGCCATTTTAGTCATCAAAATTTTATCTACTCACAATGGGCACCAGAACGGTTACAGCTTGGAGTGATGTTGTGTTAAATAGTCGACAAGCAGCGTGGTCGAGCGGTTAGAGCACTGGACTTGTAACATGAAGGCCTGGAGTTCAAATCCTGCTCTGACTACTGGCTGGATTTGTTCTTGGCAGTCCTGAGTTCGAATCCTTGGCCACGCTTGTAACATAGGCAACTGGTTTGCCTCCTACCAGTTCGGATACCATAAAATTCCGAAAATAAGCCCCCAGGGTTATATTTTTCAAAGGCCCTTTTTGAGGGGCTCATTTTTGGAGGGGCTTTTATTTAAAGGGCCTTATCTATGGAGGGAAATTTGCATTTCAAAATCAGTTGGGCTAGCCTTATGGTTGGAAGGAATTTTACCGTTTTTGCTTTGTTTTACTTTGTATTTGAGGGAAATTTCCAAGTACAAGCCACCGGGGGGGCTTATATTTGGAGGGGCGATTTAACGGAGGTTTTTTTGCGTTACGAGTTTGGGTTTGGTTTGGGTTTATATTTGGAGGGGCTTATTTTCGGAATTTTATTGTATTTAATCATGTTATTTTCCATTTAAATTATTTGTTCTTTATCCGTGAAAAGCTCCATAAGGTGAGAGGATTATTATTATTATTATTATTATTATTATTATTATTATTATTATTATTATTATTATTAACATAAAAGCAAATGACTCTTTTCCATTGCTTACAAAGTCAGCTTTTGAAACTCATCTGAACTACAAACCTTTTTACACTCATTTCTCGGTGAACACTAAAAAAGGTAGTTAAAGAGGTGTACGACTAGTTATAGTCTGTGGAAATTGTTATAATAACATTAATAATTTTGTTGTTCTCTTAGTAAATGAATGGACATTTGGAGTGAGGGATGTAATTCACATATAAAAAAAGGGGCCTGGTATTCAGTCGATGGAAATCAGTATCAAGGTATATGAAAAACGAAAAACATCTATTTTTGATTGTATAGCTGGCTTTTGCGAGGCATTTACAAGATATATAAAAAAATGACTGTGCCCGTTTGAAGACATGGTTCATGCGCCATCACCAACTTACTTTGGATATTTTTCCAAATTCCCATAAATTAATCAATAAGCTTAAATGCGGCTGATACGAAATAAAATAATGAATAAGTGAATCATTATTGATGAGTTGAAATCTGGATTCCGCAACAGACATTTCCCTTGCACGGAAAATCCCCAAACATTTGACCAAACAGTACTGCAGAAGGAAGAGGCTGAGGAGATGAGGGGTACTTTGCTCACTTGATCGAAGTTCATGGAACAACAGCTTTAGGGCCAGCAAATATCACGCACCAACCGCAGCGATTGACATTTTTTTGGATTGAAGAAGCGAATCCTATAGCTTTTATCGACCAAGATCAATCGTACGAAATCTGTCAAGCCTACCGCGCGCCGCGCGCTGAGTCTATTGTTGACCGAAGCCTTTCTCTCTCACCTTCTCCCCCATCTCTCTCATAGTAGATATGACATCCGGCAAATCCCTTGCTATTAACTAATAAAAAAGAAGATATGGATTTTTAGATTACTTTTGAAACTACGGAAAACGAGTGGCACAGTTGAAAGCACGAGTCTACGAAAAGATTAACACCTCTTCTGCCGCCATCTTGGAATATGAGGATGACTCAACGATCACGTTGGCAGCGGTTTCCTTGTAAAATGGAGTTCTGTTGTGTAATTTGTGTTGGATGTCCGTCGTACCAAGCAGCAAGCAGGCAAAGGATATGGGAAGTCTGTCGGCCTTGTTCCTGGAGGAACAGCAAAAAAATACGTAGGGTGCCTGTTGATGGTAACCTGGGCTCAAGCACGTTTTTGATTAAAAAAAAAACAAACAAACAAACTCCTCCTCTTTTAACTATTAGGTCAGGATTTTGAACTTGTACACCCATCGGTTGATTCTCTGCTGTCCTGCTGATTCTCTGTTTCCCAAGTTTTTAATTGTTTTTGTTTTTGTTTTTTTTTTTTCGTTTGCTCATTTAAATAATCAATGAGTGAAGACAAAAGGCACGATGATTGTCCCGGACGGCGGAACATTAGCATAAATAGGACAGGGATGTTTGCGTTGGTGTGGCTCAGACTATATCTGAACCGTAAAGGCAATCTTACTCAGACAAAGTATGAAAGCATTTATTATTTTTATTTCGAAAGTCCTTTACGCAAAACCCAAAGCGATACCTTTTCAAAGTGTAAAATTGTTGGCTTTCTGTCTGAACACCCTAGATGAATCCAAAATCTGCAGTTAATTTCTATCCCTAAGCAACCCCCTTGTTTTCCATGTTAGCCCACCTGTCTAGCCGGTACAGCCGCACCCTCCCCTCAAACAAAATCGGGGGTGGTGCGGCTGAGGTTTTGCGCATTCGTGGCAGGCGTCGGAAGGAGTAAAGGTAGAGTAGAGGAGTAGGGAGAAAGTTGAGGGATTGGGAAGAGAGGAAAATGCATTTTGGCCCTTTTCTTTTTTAAGGTATAACAATAATTTAATGACTTATACTGCGCGTGTTACATGGAGATATGCTCACACGTACATTTCACTAGAAATGACCACTCCAGAAATACCATAACATACCATGCTCTTTGTTTGTCACCCCAATATTTTGCATAAGCATTGTCTTCAGTTTCTCTTGGGAGTTAAAATGGCCCCAAGAGAACAGTGAAAATATTGCTTATGCAAAATTTTGGGGTGACAAATAAAGAGTATTATGGTATGTTATGGTCTTTTCTGGAGTGGTCAATGATTACAACATCCTCGGAGACCCAGGGACAGTCAGTCGGGATGGGAGAAAGGGCGCGACGAAAGGAACTCAGGAGAAACTTTTCGCCGATTGGGCACAATAATATAAAGCATTTTTTGTGCCCAATCAGGAGGCGGCATCCGGTTGAATTTTTGGAAATAGTTCGGTGATAGTCGGTACCCAGGGGTTCTTTCGCTCGTACTTGAAAACTTTCGTCGCGCCCTTTCTCCCGACCCGACTGACTACCCCCTGGGTCCCCGAGGATGTGATTACAATAAAACATAGTGGTGTACTACAGTATATGAAAAATATTACATGTCAATGAATTTGCATATAATAGTTTACAGTGGAAATAAGGAAACGAAGAATTCAGGGGCACCCAACGACAATTTTTGGAAAAATATCTGTTCGGAAGACGATTTGAGATCTAGAATTTTCGGAACATTTGTTGTAAAATCTCTTACTTGCCTGCTTCTCCTTAGTCTCCTTCGCAGCCGTTATTAGGGTCGTCACTCGTCACGCAACGCTCCTCCCCACTGGGGAGGAGCGTTGCGTGACGAGTGACGACCCTAATAACGGCTGCGAAGGAGACTAGCTTCTCCTAGGATTTTCGAACATCTAAAATATGGTATAATTGCCTATTTTTAACGGATTTTTACCCTAAAAAAGGTCACCTAGAATTTTCCGGAGCCTTTTTTCTGGCGGAAATTTTCGAAAAGGTAAGTTTTGATCCCTATAATTTTCGGATCACTAGACTTTCAGCTAGGAAATCCGAACAGATGAAAAATTTTTAGGGGATAAAAATATGCCTATATCTACCGTTTAAATACCAAAATACGTTTAACAATGCTATGTTTTAGTGGTTTTGAACTATATTCTCGTTGGGTGCCCCTGAGAATTGGATATCAGATTCCTCTAAGCAATAAAATGGGAATAAACTACCAGCAGCTATAAGCTGTCCTAAATAGATAGGTTTTCAGGAAGCGTTTAAAAGCGGCAACATTAGCGGATAATCACTGGTAGATCGTTCCAAAGTTTTGGTGCCACGGCGGTAAATGAACGGTCACCAAGAGTAGCGAGAGTTCTTATATTTGGATGCTGAACTAATAGTTTGTCATCAGAAGAGCTTAGATTGTATCGAGGAATAGTTTTAAGATTTACATAATAGTTCTGTAATATATTCAGGAGCGAGTCTATTTAATGCTTTATAGGTAAAAAGTAAAATTTAAAATTGAATTCTGTAACTAATCATGGCAGACAGTGGAGGCTAAATAAGGTGGGAGTGATGTGATCGAAGCATCCAACATTGCAGATCAGCCTGGCCAGCAGCTGCATTCTGGACTCGTTGGAGCTTGCGCAGCAGGTTGTTAGGCAAGCTATACAAGAGGCAGTTGCAATAATCCAGACGACTTGTTACAAACGCATTGACCAAAATATCAGTACAATCCAGACTGACAAACTTCCTAATTCTTCTTATGTTATATAAGTGGAAAAAAAGCGGTTTTGCAAATTTCATTAATGGGTGTGTCCATCTTTAACTGTCGATCAAACCAGGTACCCCCTCCCCCGTCCCTTTTTTGTACTTGTCAAGCAGGCTATTTTCATGTGGGAGTCACCCCCCACCCTCCTCCCCCCCTCCCCCACCAGAACGCAAGTATGGATAATTACAAGGATTGGGTTCTACCTTTGGACTTTTCATCATTTATTTTATCATTCATCATGTTTAACAATTTGATGTACCAAAATATAACCACTGGGAACAGTGTATTCATTGGCTCTGTCATCAGCATATTTTATGATTTTCTCCTTCTTCAGCAGTCTTATTTTCCCTGCTTCCTCCATTTCTTTCAACTTTTTTTCGTAGCCGTACTCTGGAGTGATATAGGTATCCTTTCGTATGGAGTGAGCCATGATTCCACCTAAAAGAGAAAAAAAATGACAATTTACATCAAGGCATCGATTTTTTCCGCGATTTCTCCAAGAATGAGTTTATCCGCACTAGGCTACAATCATGAACAAATTTGCATTTGAAAGGCCTTTTTTATCACACATGCAAACTCCTCTCTCCACCCCCGCAAATAACGATGGACGCGTGTATAAAGAATTCTTCCCAAATTTCAAAAGGTAACACTGCTATTCTGAGAAAATTACAGATGATTACGAATACCACATAGTTACTGTCCCAAGAAATTTTGTCCAGGATCGATTGCAGGCACTTTTTTATTTACTTTGCAAATTTAACGGGTAAGCCATTGGGCACTCTTATATGTGGAAATTGTTAACACCATTCAGAATTCTAAATTCGAAACTTTGTCAAAACTTGCCAAACTTTAAAAACGCCCCAGCGCTGTCAAGGGAAAATGACAGTAGAATCCAGTTAGTCCCCAACTCGCCCTCTATTGGGAGAGTTTGCTTTTTTGTACGCAATCGCTTCTCGGGTTTTCTCGCCGAATTCACCATTCGCTTTTTAATTTGAAGCTGATTCGCTCCTGCTTTTCTTTTCGTTCGAATTGCGTAGATTTGGCGAATAACTACCGTTTATCAGTGGGTAGGATGTTGGTTTTAATAGCAGAGACAATTAGCAGGTTTTGTCGTCATGGGGTGGAAGGACTCGACCTGAATCATCGCCAAACTTAGAAAACAAAAGCAAGCAAAAATCAAACTTGAGGGAAGTCACTTTCCGGAGAACGTTTTTCGGTATAACAACCCCCTTCTGAAATAACCTCTTTTAACAATTGTGAAGAAAGAACTTACCGGGCTTTATTAAAGATATAATTTCATCAAAAGCTTCTGGCTTCAGTTGCCCAGGTGTAAAAACACTGCAGCTAACGGCAGCATCAAACTGACCCATAGCAAAGTGCTTTCTCCAGTTGTAAAGCGAATCACACACCATAGCCTTGTATATGTTCTTCTTCTCGGCCAAAGCCAGCATCTTAGGCGACAGATCGATTGCCACAAGATTTGTAAAACCTCTTGCTCTCAGCTTTTCTCCGATCAGGCCTGAACCAGCTCCAATATCTAAAATTTGGACCGCATCTTTGTCCAGCGTTGGTAGTGTGTTTTCTATGGCTTTTTGAAGTTCAGGAACTAGAAATTCTGGGGACTGGTACTTGGACGTTTTCATGTCCTGCGGAAAAAAACATGTGTAATGGTCAAGCAGGATTTGTTACCGCTCAACGCAAGAAGTTAAATAAAACGCCGAACAAAGAGTGCGGAATAGAAAAGAATGGACATGAACAAAGCACATTTTCTTAGAGGGCCTTAGCTAAGGGTCTGAATGGGGTTTAGTGTTATTTGCCCATAATTTTTAGTGTTTGCTGTTAAATTGGCCAATTTTTTAATGTTTACTGTTTCCCAAGTTAAGTGCTTGGAAGGTTCTTCGGACATTTTCGGCAATGGTCAGACCTCTTCGTTAGTCTTGAGAAATCTTCGACAGTCTTCGGGAATCGTCTGTAGCCGTTCGAAAATCTTCTGAAATAATCCGGAATTGTCGTAGAATGGTCGAAAACTCCTTGATATACTAAACAAAATAATATTGGCCTTTTCGGAGCCGTTTTGGCTTCTTTCTGGAAAAATCTACTGTTTCATAGAATTTTTTACTGTTAGTGTTCAGAATGCCCAAAATTTAAGTGTTACAGAGCCAAAAAATGAAGTGTTTAGGTCATCGAGGTACCCCCATTCAGACCCCCTTAGCTAGCATAACAGTTAACACTTAAATCCAAATCAAGGTAGGAAGCCCATAACATTTAGCAGTAAACTCCATCTAGACTCTTCGCGTATGCCAGAATGAGCTCGAATTGCCATTCTTTGCAGCTTTTCGGCAGACTTCGCGAGTGAAAGCCATTATTTGAACACGGAAGCCTTCAATTCATTGCTGCTATATAATCAAGAACTTGTCATCCCCATGTAAAGTGTAAAACAATAAATCTTGCCCCATTTGAGCAGGTTAAAACTAGATTTTTATCAACTTTGCCAAAACCCATTAACCGTTGTCGTTGACAACGAGTGTTTATTTACATAATCATCAAAATTGGTGGTTATCGATATTTTTACATTTGCGATATTTGTGTTCTATAGATAATTTTGTTATGTCAACTGTACAAAGTTTATTGGTAGTTATCACTTAGTTTAGTTGTTTGAAGAGTGAAACCCCTGTCCATCGGAGTTTCTCAATAGGACCGTTTAGCTTATATTAATTATAAGAAACGTAGTCTATTCATTGTTGTTTAAGAAAGAGGTGTTAAGTACACGTCTTTTTGCTGAAAGCATCAATAAGATATTCATAACTAAACTGATTCGTAAACAACTTTCCAGTTAATATATGGAAAAAGGCGGGACTTATTAGTATTGTTCTGTCTTTTGTTTTCTTTAAACAATGAATGTATGCATAATTAATGTATGGGGTTAATACGGAAATCTTGCCAACATTTCTTGTAATTTTTATATCTCTCTGGCCGTTTGTCTCGACTGGAAGGTTCCTGGACCTAGGTGAATTTTGGAGTAAAATTGGTTTTTCTAACCACGCAACAACCTCGAAAAAAAAAGGTTAGTTCTTGCTCTGACGAATCGGATTTTTACTGATGTAAGACTAATTTTAAAATGCGTGAGATTCACAGCTTTCAAAGTCCGGTCAGGATAAAAGAAGCAGCAACGAGTCTTTGTCAGAGAGATCCAGCTAGTAGTGTGCTTGTAATATAAAGTTGTGTCAGGGAGTTAAGTAATAAATCCAAGTGAACTCGAAACCAAAAAGTGTCAATTCATTTGTAGAAGGACTTATGTTCCCCTAATCTGCGTGGCAGGCGTTCAAAAGGGAAGGGGAAATGAACTAGGGCGCGAGACCGCGCGCGAGGGAGGAGGGAGGAGGGTAAGGAGTAAGGAGGTTCTCGCGCGTCCAAATTCCTCCTTCCCCTTCCCTTTTTAACGCCTGCCACGCAGGCTAATGTCTTCCCTAAAGTTCCGTTTACAATAGGAATCCGGGAAATTTATCAGAACGATTGGAATCCGGAATCCAAGTTCTCCTGACAAAGAATCTAGAATCCAGTAACTGAAATCCGGAATCTACGGCGTAGAATCCAAAATCCAAGACTATCTTGGATCAAACCTTGCGTCTCGGCACCGAATACTGGCAACGTACGCACTTGATGTTTTATTGACTAGCAAATCAGAAGCAGATTACTGCTTATAAGCAAAGCTAATGCTATCACTGTCTTTGTTCTTCAATAATATTTTCGATAAAGTAGCGCGGAAACGCTTGCTAGACAGGCTAGCATTCCTTGTACTTAATAACTATTTGGAACGCTGCCCCCGACCCCCTTATACCCACCGATCTGCTCAGTTTAGAACTGGGAAATATTAAAAAAGAGTAAGTGAAGTAGCGAACGCCTGCTACGCAATCTATTTGAAGTTAAGCTACAGTTGCTGCCCCTCCTAATATCCTGGTTCCGAAGCCCCTTGAAAACATTTAAAAGCATCTGTATCACTGAGTTCTTGTTCTAAACTCTGTAAATAGAATACATATAATTATATGTATATATATATCACTGACCGACCTGTTCATAAGTAACGGACCAAATGTCATGAGCTTTCTTGACCATCTCATCTGACGTGTTCCAAAATGACAAATCATAAATTTCTTTCGGCCTCGGGAAGCTTTCACAAAACCCCTTTCCATCTGATTTTCCTTTTTCTTCTAGAGTGGCTCCTGACATTGTAGAAGGGTCTCAATTGGGATAGCCGTCGGCAGTCAATGACCTATAGTCAAAAATGGCTAAACGTTAAAAAGGCAATTAAACAGTTTCAAGGTCTTGCAAATAATCAACTCTGATTTCAGCTGCTCCTTGGGGACCTTTGGCTCTCCAAGAATCTTATCATTGTTTGGCAAAACCAGTTCCTGTGTTTTCCATTGCCGGATTAGCATTATTTGTAAAGCTAGTGGCAATTACCATGATTAAAGATCAAGATATAAATTTGTTCTATCATCTATGGTCTTTTCCGCTAATTTGAGCCTAATACTGACATAACAACTGAATACATGTACTTCTGGTTTTATATTATATTTCTTTTCTGATAACCAATAAAAATTTGAACAGACATTCTTCTCTGAATAACTTTTTTTTCCAGAATTATTTCTACAACAAATTATAATACTTTATGTTTGTTCTCTACATGAAATCTCTTGAGAGTTAATTAAATTCAGATTACTTATATGCTAAAACTTGAGAAGGCCTCAGAAGAATTGTATATAATGCTGTATAGCTGATTCAATAAAGGTTGCTTTGGGCATTGGGAAGCTATTGTTTGGTGGTCACTCAAGTAAGTCATTGCATTGTTCCATATGCCCAAATGCTCAGTGTCCAATTCAGCCAATGAACAGTTACCAAAGCAACCTTTTTTGATTTAGCTGGGAAATACATACAGGGACTATCATCCATTGTAACAGCTATTCAGACCGGTTGACTAATCCGGGCGAAGCTTAGTTACGCAAGCCATTTTCCCCTTGGGTAAGTGGCTCAGTGTTTTGCACGGGGAAGCTTCAACAGTTTTGAATTATTTTAAGTATCCTTATTTACGCAAAAGTGTGCAAGGTTTATTACATCAGTTTGATTTCGTTAAGAGATTTCGAAAACGCACGTGCCGGCCTTCAAGTGATTTTAATAGTAAGATTCATCTTCTGTTAAATTGTGCCTTCTGTTCATATTAATTGGTCGCGCTGGTCAAACAAAGGATACGTTCCGTTGACCATAATTGACTTTTACTTCACCAAACAAAATCTTCACAGAAAGACAAAGTTTCGCCTGGAGAATACTGATTTTATTGATCTTCTACGTTTTCAAGATCTAATTTGAGTTGGCTTGCGTTTTAGTGACAGAAACCCTGTCCATCGGAATCTCCTGATCAAATTATTAGTTATACTTCATTTAGTGCAATCGATTAACAATTGTTTGAGACTTGTTGCCAAGTAAACACCTTTTGTTGGATAATCCGTGTAATTACATTTTTACGCTAAGTAGTTTTTCTTGCAAACTCGTAGACAACTTTTAGTTATTGTATTGAAAAGACGGGACAATTATAAATTAGTATTGTTAACTATTCCTACAAGAAGACTTTAATTAAACGACAACTTATGTAATGTACAAAAGTTGAACAGTTGTACTTTTTGAAGTAACGATGGTCTGAGTCAGCGATTTATATACACAATACATTCTTTGTAATTTTTTTTTTTATCTCTCTGACTATTTTGTTTTCATTAGATACTAACTGAACTTAAGTGAATTTTAGAGTTAAAGCTGATTTTCTGGCTACGCCATAACCTCAAAGGAAAATATGATAATATTCATTACAAACAACCGGGTTTTTACTGATGTAAGACTGAATTTCAAACAATTAAGACTGACAGCTGTCATGTCAAGTCGGGACATGTCAGAGCTACAATTTTAGTTACCCGCCAATTGGGTTTCGGTCTTTTCACGAAAGTACCTCGGGAACATTTCCAGTGCATAAGAAAGAACAAAACAACTCCCGATAAGAGTTCCCGAGGTAGGTTTTATGCGTTCATGAGAACCTAAAGCAGCTAGGCCAATCACGTGAAAGAGCAACGTAGCAAACTGGTTTCATAAGCTCAAAAAGACCTCGAGACACACGGAAGTTTTCTTTATATTAATGGTCAAGAGTTCTTTCCTTAAGAATTTGGAAGAAAAAAGGTTTGCGGAAGTGTAATCTGACTCGCACAAGGGACAATTCGCCTTTTTAAAAAGCAAGCACTGGTTTACGTGAAGCCGCGATAAGTGAGAAATGAGGGCAGTCTCGCATTAGAGGAGTTTTCAGTGACAAAAGTCCAACCCAGAGTTTCGTGAAGTGAACGTTTGTAAATACTGTTCTCTCTATATGAATTGATAGAAACGTTTATTGTTCAGCATACACATCACTGTATGGGCTATTATAACTACTTTTTTGGCACAATACTATCCTGACGTCAGACATTATTCCTGCTAGTAGCTGATTTTTTTTTAGTAGCTGATAATAGAGAAAGTTAATTGGTAATATTTTTGTATTGATAAAGAGAGGAATGGCATGATCACGCGGTTTAGCAAAGTGAATAAAGCGAAGAGCGCGTTTCTGAAAAAC